AAAGTAAGTTGTAGGCATTTAGAGCTTGTAATGCAGTTTAAAATCTGACCATTGATTAATAGTCATTTTATGCTTAAGTTGTATTGCCTAGGTATTAAACTGGTACTAAAAGAATCAATAACATGATAGTTTCATTAGCTATTTTATTTTAAATTAATTCCTGTCAGCTATAAATTCATACTTTTTTTTTTATTAGTCATTTCACCCTAACTAATGTGATAATTCCACTAACACACAAGGGGTTACTGGAAGTGAAAGAGATTGAGAAGACATTAGTGAGGAGAAAGGACAATTAAAGAACAAGGTCAGAAAGACAGAACATGGTAATTTGCATTACATTTAAATTTTTGAACATTGTTGGTACAAGAAACTGGAAGACAGTTCTACAGGTGAGAAAAGAAAGTAATAGAATAGAGCTTATGGTTACATCTATTCAATTCAATTTTTATGATGAATTGTTGTAAAAAAAAAAATTTTTTTTTTCAAAGTTTTATGCATTCAAAGTACCAAAGAACGAAAACTCATCTGAACATTTGCCATGAAAATATTTATAGTTTTTCCTCATTCTTAGCTCAGACATCACTGGTTTTAAAAAAAAAAAAAAATTTTTAAATTAAAACTTGAATGTCTTCTGCTAAGAAATACAGAAAATTTTTCACTCCAGAAAAATAACTATCTGAGAAACCAACAGATAAAAATTTAGTTTATAACCCTTCAGATGAGTGGACACTGCCACTATTTTATTTGCTTATATTTTTAATTGCCATGTTCCTTTTAGGATGTAAACTCTCTCTATAGATTCCATTTCTTCATTCTTTCTGAATTATCATGGCTTCTTGGAAAAATAATGGAATAGTTTCCATTGACTTTCTACAGCTTTGATTTCAGAATGATCCTTTTCAAATGACTGTAAACCTTCTTTAGAATTAGTCTGCTGTATTTAATCCATAGCTTTTTTTTTTATAAATATTTGCCTTTTTATATAATTAAATTTGGGCAAAAGTGAATGTTTTAAAATAAAATGTTTACAAATTTGAAATTGATTTACTGATTCAACTTTCTGCACTGATGACTAGTACTAGCACATCCATGTTTGTTTAGTTCATACAGTGAATAATGCAGTGTCCTGATGATTATGATTTGGCTACCTTTTATCCTAAATTCTCTCCTTAAAAAAATATATTGGAATTGAATAGAAGATTTGATTTAAATACCCAAAGATTGATTGACCTTTTTTTGCTTTAGAAATGCTTTAATTCAACAAAAATTCAGATATTTTGCCATCTACTTTTAAAAAAAAAATGTAAAGAATACCAAGAATTTGTAAAGTAGTAATAAAAAGATTGGTGGTAGTTTTATTGACAAAGATAAAATAAGATGCTGTTGTATGATAATTTTTTTATAGTTAAATGCTTATTGTTTATCAAAATAAAAGCAAATACACTCTAGTTACTGAATTTTTATCTTTTTATCTACAAAACCTTACCTAAAATGTTTTTTTCAGAAATATAGGATGTTCCCCAAACTTTTTGCCTGTAGTGTATTTGTCAAATAACATTTTACATATATTTCCAAACTTGTCTCTTGAGATAGTTTTCAAATTTTAAATCCCCAATTTCCCATCCCCAAAAAAAAAAAAATTTTGCAATATTTTAAACTAAAAGTAAGTAATATTTGTTTCAAATCTGATTAATCAAACTTTAAATCCGCTAATCTTCCTCAAATAAAGTTTCAGAAAAATATTTTATTTTTGAAAGATTTTTTTTTAAAAAAGAGAATTACATTGTTCTGGGAGATTTGTAAATATATTGTAAGTATGAGCCATTTTTAGCAGTTTTTTTTCCCCTGATAAATTTAAATTCAGTTTGAAATACAGCAAAGTATTTTACTTATTGGAAATATTAAATTTAATCTATTCACTTAAAATTAAAATATAAGCTTCAAGAAAGATTTTTTTCTTTTTAAAAAAAAATATTTTAATCCTTAGGTGTCACTTTTCTTTGAAGTTACCTTGTTGTTAAATGTAATCTAAACATGCAAAACAACATAAATATAGCTAAAAAAAAAATTTATCTTTATCTGAAATGCTTATAAAAATTAAATGGTGAAAGGGACTTTTGAAAATGTTTTTCTTCAGTGATTATTCTCAACTTAATTATTTACCTTTTGTGCAAAACATTCTCTTCTGGATTTAAACCATTAAAAGCTTGAAGTCCAGTAAATGCAAGAAAACAATTATAAGGGTTTGGCAGAATTAACTGATCAACTGGATATCTTATATTTATACCTATAAGTGTACACACACACACACACACACACTCTGTTCCAAGGGACAAAATTTCTTAGAAATCTAAATAATAGTAACGTAAAGTGTAATGACCAGTTCCACAATTTACAAAATTAAGTGCCTCTAAAAGAGTGATTGTCTGGTACAAAAGTTGTTTTTATGTGAGAAAAATAAGTAATTCAGTTTTTTTTTACTAAAATATTTTAGTTATTTCTATCATTTTATTTTTCAAATCCTCTAAAATAAAAAAAATTAATTACTACTAATTTTCTCATGTTCTAACTTCTGTCACCAACACATCACAGCACAAGTTTTATCTTTAGTTTTATTTATGATATTTTTAATTACATTTACAAAATGTTTTATCTCTGATAGTTATTAACAGTACTTCAAGTGTAGTTAATTTATGCAATGGAATAAGCAAGTCAATATTCTTCATTAGATGCAAATACATGGTTTTTAAAAATTGTAAAATTTTATGTAATTGATATTTAAACTTATAGGTTTAAGCCACTACAAAATAACCATGTATACATTTATTAGAATTGTATTCAAAATAGGAGAAAAGAGTTTAAGGTAATGAATACAGAGGCAGAACATGGAAAGATGAACTATTCATATAATATATATTCATATATACAATGTTAATTTAGTTCAGTGAAAGAAATGAAATATAGTTTATATGATGATTATGAGGTTTACTCTAGCATCTCCAATTTTTTTAACATTCAATTTGTGTTCTTATTACTATTTATACTATTAATTATGTGTTCTTTATTACTATTTAAACAAATAAAAATGTATTGGTCAAAAAAAGTGAAACCTGTTATAATTTTTTTTTTTTTAAATTAGTCAGAATTACTGTGTGTGTGTGTGTGTGTTTTTTTTTTTTGTTTTGTTTTTTTTTTTTACCTATAAACTATAATGTTTACAAGCCCATAGGAAAAAAATTGACACATACCTTCTCTTTTTGTCTTCTTTCAAAATAGCTATCTCCTTTTGATACATGTAGAAAACAAAGAGTTTTGAGAAGGAGAAAGTGCTGTAAACATTCACAGGAAGTTAGTGTTTAATTTTTACTAATTTTCTCATTTCTAACTTCTTCTGAACCTGATGCAAGCACAATAAGGGAGAGAGAAACAGATCTTAGCAACCAATACCACCACTATCAATTCTGTTACATAAACACATTAAGAACTCAAAAGAAGGTTTCTTTAAGCTAGACATCATTTGAAGATGAAATGTATTTTTACAACACAGCAGTTCAAGACCTAATAAACAGTCACAGCACATGACTGGATAATGTTCACTCATTCACCAGTCCTGACCTGGAACCTTCAGATTTTCATTTGCTTGGGCTGGGTAAATGAAGTAAAAAGAGGCTTAATGAAGCAGCCAAGAAGCTTCTACAAGGTTGGTACACATGTCCTAATTAAAAAGTGAAATATCACAAGAAGGAAAGAGACTTTCCATATTGGTTTGGAATCCTGAAACTTTTGTATTAATTTTGTTGTGCTTTGTGTGCTGCTTCTACTAAACTTGTAATTAAAAAAAAAACAAAAACAGGCATTACTTTTTCAGTGATTTTCATTCTAATTGATTGGTCATGTAGATATATACAAATTCTTTCTTTAGAAAATTCAGAATAGTTCCTTACAAATCCCTTCCCATGTTCGTCAAAATTGATTCAATGACCAATGTAATTTATGAGGATTAACATGACTTTAACAAATAGATAAAATATTCTAAATAAATTTTATTTGAAATTTTATAATTAAAATTTTTTTCAAATTTAGTCTGACATCAGAAAAAACTGTTTTTATCAGTATTAAATAAACAGAGAAATGCATCATATTCTTTCTTTTTTTGTCAGAATTATTTGTTGATTGAAGTCAGATCAATTTGGTTAACAAATTACAAAGTCATGTACGTATACCTGCAATATTTGGTTATCAAGAGACCTGCCAGGTATTAAACTTCTCCAAACAACATCAACCTTTACTCCCATGCTCTCCTATTAAACTATTATTAAAATTAGTGCTACAGCTTGCACAGTCATACAAAAGCTTGAAGATAGGGATTTTATAGCTCATTTATAGCACTCACTATATATCCATTATTTACAGTTTTTTTATAATATATGTTGTCCAATATTTATTATGTGAATTATCACTCAAACCATTTTTCATTTTCTTTTAAAGTTCTATGCAATAATAAATGTTTCATTGCACCTAATTAGTTACAATAAATGTTACCTATTAATATAAAACATCCCATATTCATGTGGCAATAGATTGACATTGCTGTGCTCTTGAATAAAATTGATGACTAGAATTATGGTTTTTAGAATGATCAAGTTAATAAAAGCAAATTCCAGTTTACGTTTTCTTTTACCATTTTTTTCTTTTTACAAAAGAATATCTTTTTATGCTAATCCTCCATATGTTATTGAAAAGAATATTTATATTCTTGATCATCTTGAGGAATATATTAATTTGATGCTTTTTATTTTTTTATCAGAAGTTTTGTCACATATGATGGCAATTCATATAAAATGGAAGTATCTTCAGCATTAAATCTTCTCACATTATGGCATGCATAGTTGGTAGTTTTATTACTCTAAGATTGTAAGTTTTTTACTTGAATTTTAATTGTTATTTGTTTCTTTTTTCAGCTTGTTCCACAACTTGTTCGTATCCTCAAAAATCTTATTATGGCTGGCTATTCTCCTGAGCATGATGTGTCTGGTGTTAGTGATCCTTTCCTACAGGTAACTATACTGCTTTATAACCTTTCAACTAGTATTTAAATAGCATTATCTTTTCTTTTTCATTATTTATTGTGTGTAGTGCTAGGAACTCATAAGAATTTTAATATTATTTAAGATGGCAATTTGTATGTATTTTAATCATTTTTAATAATGCAAATGGTATTTAGTGAGTGGTTAGAACTAAAAATAAATATATAAAATAAAATAAAAATTGAGGAAAGAAAAAAAGAATAGATTATTTTGACCCTTTATTTTTATTTCCTTCAGAAACATTTTTATCAGCATAATAGGGATACTCCCCAATCCCCTGTGCTTGTTTTATATATACTTCCTCTTTTTTATCTTTCCTACCTTTCTATCGCATTCAGTAGTGATTTTCATACAACTATAATTGTTTTTTTTTTTTGTTTTTTGTTTTTTGTTTTTTTGTTTTTTTGCGTGTGTGTATGATGATTGGTATATGTTTTGTAATAACTTTACGGTAATTTTCATAGAATATATATTTATTTTATTGTAGCTTTCAATTTTTTATTTCAAATTCTTGTCAGCTTGCTTTGCTATCATATACATTCACAAAATAAACTACTTTACATAATTAAAATCATAATTGTTTCTTTAATAATTGTATATTAATTAATAAATTGTTTCTGGATAACTGCTGGACAAATAATTTTTAATTGATATTTTTCGGATTTGATACGGCATTGTCATATTATATTTTTTTAAATAATGGTTTATTTACCATCTTCATATAATTTCATCTCCACAATTGACTGTAGATTTTTGATCAGATTCAGATCAAAACTCGATGGTCACCATTCCATTATCTTCTCTCCTGTAAACCTTTTATGCTCAAAAAATTCACAGGTAAAATTAGATACATGAGAAGAAGCATTGTCATGAATAAATACACACTTCACTTTGAAACTGTGAGGTTGTAAATTGTATCATTCAAAAAAAACTTGTCACAATAATTTGTACTGTTCAACTTCTTCATCAAAATTGAATGATCCAATAATGGTTTGGTGACAATTCAAGCCTATACCATCACACCGCAGCCTCTTTGCTGCCTTCTTTTAGCCACAGGCACATCTGCATTGGATAAAATCTATCCTTTATCCCATCTATCAAGTGTCACATGAAATTTATCCATTATTTTCTTGGCCCAATTTTGATGCTTTAAAATATTTACTTTATTGAGAAAAGTTTGCATTATGAAATTTCTTGATAGATCCCAATTTGTGAAGCATTCTACACCTTTTATCTTTGAATCCCTCAATTCCAGCCTGTTCAAAGATCTGAGCACTGGTCAAAGGTAGTTGTTTCACTGTAACTCACTGTACTTACATTTCCTTTGAGGAAAGAAGTTCTTAAACCCTTTTCCTTTGTTTCTAGTGAAGTTCCTTTGATATCTCTAATGTGAACATTCTCTTACTTCATAAGATCCTTTCTATTACTCAATTTTCAACATATAGAAAAAAAGAAAAATAGTTTTTATTAGATTTCATAGGCCTTAAACTAATATTAGTTTAATCTGCATAATAACTTCAGGCTAGAGTTTTTATAATCAATAACTTTAGTAAAACATGTTGAAGCTACCTAAACATTTAACTTTAGCTTTATTATGACATCTAAATTAACCATTTAAAATTTGAGAAAAATTGCTCATAGCAAATTCGATTTGTAATTTACATGATAACTTCAGACAGATAATATATATTGTATAGTGTGTATTTAGCATGTAAATTTTTCTGTCTTTACATGAAGTTTCTTGTTTTTAATTGATTTGAATGAAGAATTTTACATATTTATACATCTCTTATAAAACATGTAAAACCTAACAATTTGATATGAACATAGAAAAAGTTAAGATTATAATAAACTGAATGCAATAATTATATTATTTTCAGGTAAAAATCCTCCGTTTATTAAGAATACTTGGTCGAATGGATTTAGAAGCCAGTGAAACAATGAATGACATACTTGCTCAGGTAAGTCTATAAAACTGCAATGAAATTAAAAGAAAATAAAACTAAGTATTTATAATCTAAATCTTAAGTGTTAGCTATATTTATTTGACTATTCGGAAAAGCAAACAGGTTATAATTATAAAATTATATCTACTGATTGACTTTGCCAAGCTTTTAATTTCTGTTTTATGTACAGTTGTTGGACCAGTAGCCTTCTAAGAATCAAGACTTTTGATAAGTCTTGAGACTTCTCAGGCTGCAAAGAGAATATTATGAGATTGTGCTATTATTGAGATTGTGCTCATTGAGATGGAGGAACTCAGAAAGGGGATGGCTTTTGCTATTGATAGAATTGTACTGTATTTTAAAAACACCTTGTCTGTTTATTAAATTCTCATCACATTATCCCAATCAGCAGTTAATGATTATTTGTTAATTGTCATTGATTGGTTTGATATTTGCTTATATATTTTTTATCTTCCAGTTTTCTTGCCTGATTATTTGATGAATCATTTTTCAGGTTGCAACAAATACAGATACTAGTAAGAATGTGGGGCATGCTATCTTATATGAGATAGTCTTGACTATCATGGGCATTCAATCTGAGGCTGGTTTAAGAGTAAGTAGCAGTTTTTATTTAAAATGAAATAATATTGTATGAAGTACAAACAATATTGAATCTGTTAGTTTACTAACAAAAAATTAAATGTGATCTTTAATTGAAGTTTTATTTTAACCAAAAACTAATATCCTTACTTTCATCAGAATTTTTTTTAAAATTAAAGTTTTTTCACAACTCATTAATATTCATATGGCTACACAAACACTAAAAGCATATAATCTGAAAAAAAATCTGTCTGATGCATTGAATTGCTATCCAGAAGTAAATATTTTCTTTTTTTATACAGTGTACTTATACTATTCTGCTCATCAAGTTACATGTTGGCAAACAACAGTATAAACATGATAGTTACAATCAAAAGAAATACAAGTAAACAGGCAAACCAAAACTCACCTACCCACTCAAACTTTCTTTCTCCAATATTCATGGTATTTGTACCAATTCCAATTCCTGTTGTATAGAATTTTTTTCTTTTGAAATTTTCTACAGATATCTTAGCATTTTGCAAAATAATTAAGTCTTCTATTGCTACCAATGAATTCTCTGTGCCATACTATTTTCCTCTTTGTAAAAAAGATTCTATGATCTATGGCCTTGGTTTTACAGCTGGAATAATCTTCCCATGCAAGGGAACCATCTCTTGAGTCCCTGGATGATTTTCATGTGCTTTCAACTTTCTTTATTGCACTCCATTAGTTATCACATTTTCCTTTATCACTCCCCTTTTTTGGGGGGCTGTAACATAGTGATATAATGAATATGAATACACCTGGTTTCCCTCTCACAGTAATATGATTGACTGGTGTCAGCTGTAAATACAGACTGATGTGGAAGTACAGGACGACACCAATTGATGATGCCTATTGACTATGCCTATTGCCTACCACTATGACAAGGACCAGTCCATTACAGGACATGTGAAGAAGATTGTCCTTAACCCTTAAAGTAGTGCAAACCACTTTGCTAATTTGGGGAAATATCCCTTTCTGGAGTTGGTATCAGTTGGCAGTTTGTGGGAAAAAGCGATCTTGAGTGAAACATCTCAAAAGAAAAAAAAATGGAATTGACAACACTTACTAACGAAGAATGTTAGAAAGACTTGTTCGGAACTTACAAAAGTAAGTAATTTTCCCTCATTTTTGGAAACGCTTATTAAAGAGGAAAGAGAAAAGGAAAATTCATCTGTGGGAAAGGAAGTAAGAAATTGCCCTCCCTCTGGTTTGGACATGGAAATTTTTTTGTCTTTATAAACTGGAGCAAAATATTTTCTTGGGATACCTGCTCAAGAATGGAACAAATTGCAGAATTAACTAAGGTGCTACAAGTCACTTTACAGCAACAAGAAAGGTTTGAAAAGTTATTCAAACAACAGACAAAAGAATAAATCACTTTTTTAGAAGACGTATTATCTGAGGACAACAAAAGACCAGTTACTAGATTTTTTCTACTGAAGGAATTTCAAATTCATTCTGAATTTAAATTCAACCCTGACAGTGGTTCAACATTTCGCTTATTTTTTTAGGTTTGAAACAATATTTATGAAAAAGATGATAAAAATGGTCTGATGGGGAAAAAAATCAGTACACTAATGTTGCAGAAGTTGGGGAACAAATAAATTGTGGAAATACTTGAAATTTAATCCTCCTAAAGAAAAGTAAGAAGAATTACATTCCATTAAATAATAGAATTTTTGTGAAAATTTTGTTTAAAAGAGATTGTCTGTTTCATTAGTAGTTGTAAGTGTCTATCATAAAACAAGATGATGATTTTGTTTTGTCATGCAGGTATAGTTAATGCACAAAGTGAGGCATTTAAATTAAAGGAATTGTCACAACATGTTCAAGTGTCTAATTTTTGTATTCAGGGTCTAAAAAGAAACACCGTCAGGACAAAGAATCCTCACTATCATGGAACAGGATCCGAAGGTTATGCTACAAAAATAACAAATAAGAATGTCAAAGCAACTTATAAACATAAAAAAAGATAATACTGGATTGAGGAGAAGAGACATTTCGTGAGTTTCAAACAGAAGTGGATACAAAATAAAGAAAGAAAAATTATATGCAGTTATTTGGAGGACAGCATATAAAGAAGAAGGATTGTTTCTTTAGAAATAAAATATGTTTTAATTCAGTGGTGATAGGCCAGTGAAGTTCCCATTGTCGGGCAAAAGGTGGAACTGGTCTGCGAAAGTCTCAAATAGAGGTGAACGTAGTTTTGTCTAAAAATGAATTTGAGGAGGATCAAAGAAGAAAATAAAGAACAGAAAAGTAACATTGAGCAAATAAAGCACGCTCTACTAACCACATTTGGAACTGACTGGTTTGTGGCCTATGACCAATTCCAGGTGTGGCGTCTGCAACCTGGCGAGACAGTAGACATATATTTGGCAGAATTAAAGAAGCTCGCCATACTGATCACACCGCTTCCTGAAAAATGGATGACCTGTGCCTTTCTGTCTGGATTGCCTAGTCATGTTAAGCAGATACTCCGCACATTCATCCAGAATTGAAGACATAACGCTCAATCATTTGTTGACCAGAGCCTGTGCTAACATGATCAACGAAGAAGAGGCTGATGAACCAGTGGCTGCAGTCGTTCAACCAATTGAAGTCAAAGAGGATCCGACCCCAGCCATCTGTCACCATGGCGATGTCACCTGCTATCGGTGCTCTGGGCCGAATCATTTTGCCAAAGATTGCTGCTATCAACTCGAAGAAATGCGCAGCGGGTCGGCGTGAAAGGCACATCTCGATCTACAATGTTTCCAATGTCATAAAGTAGGTCACATTGCCTCTAAGTGTCCGGGAAAATAGAATGGGGGATGTGACGTCAGCGCCAGTCTCTTTCCCTGCACAGAGCTTGAAAGAGGCGCTCCCTGTGATTAAGGTGTGCATCAATGGAATAATGTGTACCGCTTTAGTAGATTCGGGCTGTTCTCGGTCACTCACAGTTTGATTTGTCGACAGTGGAGCAGACAAAAGATGGACGTACTAACGGTTGATGGAAAGGCTCTCATAAGCCAGGGAGTTGGAAACATCAAACTCAGTATCAACAACAGTGACCCCGTCACAGTCAGTGTGTTGGTCGTGGACAGTGTGTTATTAGGTTTTGATCTGCTCCTTGGGATGGACATTATTACGGAGCTGGGTGGTGTACGCATCACAGAGGCAGGCGAAGTCAAGTTTTCTGATCTGCCCATCTGTGCTGCTTTGAGGATCAACGAGCCCAACTTTAGCATGGAGTTCAAGCAAAAGACGAAGACATGGACAGCACTGCTGAAACGGTCAGAAAATAACACACCAGAAAAGCTCCAGAACCGAGTGTCAGAGTATTCAGTGCCCAACCGCGTCATGGCCATGGTACAGAAGAACAAGGGAAAAGGTGCATCCTGTACTAGATTATAGAGAACTGAACGAACATGTAGACACATACATGGTTCATGCTGATATGTGTGCACAAAAATTGAGAGAATGGAGAAGAAAGGGGTCCAATGTCTCTGCGATTGACCTTCGAAAGGCCTACTTGCAGTAACGTGTGCACCAGTCACTGTGGCCATTTCAGACTGTGATCATTAATGGGAATCTCCTCCCATTAACGTCAATGGGATTCGGGCTCAATGTGGCGTCGGCCATCATGAAAGCCATCGTGAATGCTGTGCTGTCCAAGAATAAGACAATTTGTCAACCGACGTCAGCTTACATTGACGACATCTACATCAACGAAACCTTAGTGCCCGCTGCACAGGTGAGAAAGCATCTTGCAGGCTTTGGGCTCAAGTGCAAGAACCCAGAACGACTGGAGGACAGTGCTCGTATGCTCGGCTTGCAGGTCTGGGGGGAGCTTTACTGGAAACATGGAAGTGAGCCCCCAGACATTCCCAGAGACATGACACGACGCAGAGTGTTCCCGTTATGTAGAAAGCTGGTGGGACATTTTCCTGTGGGCGGTTGGATCCACATTGCATTTATCAAACGTAGGGTGACTGCTGTCACTTCTGGCTGACAAAACAGATGATGCTCCCCTTAGACACATGATAGCATAAGTCATTACCAGGGTGCGTCAAGATGCCCCCGTACGTGGTAAATGGTGCGTTGGCAGATGTGAATTTGACGTTTGGGTTGACGTGAGCTCCCTTGCAACAGGAGTGTGTCTTGAAATAGATGAAATTGTCATGGAAGATGCATGTTGAAGGATACACAACATTTCAACCTGTCTGAATTAGACACCATTATCAAAGGAGTAACCGCAGGGAATGCAAAGGTGTTGCATTTATTCACAGATTCCGCATGCATGCATAAGTGGATAGCAGACACTCTTACAGGGAAGGCCAGGATATGTACAAAGGCTGCGAGCGAAATGTTCATTCGAAGGCAGCTAGACACTGGGAAAGTTGGTAAGTGAGTACAACTTATCAGTAGATATACAGCTGGTCAGATCAAATCAGAACAAGGCAGGTACTTTAACAAGGGTACCCCAGAGATGGCTAGACGCTGTTAAGAAAGGTAAAGCCAGTAGATGTCTGTGCAACATCAGTGAGCGACTGTAACTCAGATTTAATAAAATCTGTGCATTGCCAAAGCGGACATCCCGATGTAAAATGGACCCTATATTTCGTGAGGCAGATTGATCCCTCTGTATCCAAAGCTGTTGTCAGGGCAGTGCTCAGAGAATGCAAGGAGTGTCAGTCCATCAACCCAGCACCTGTGCACTGGCCAAAAGGACAACTGAGTGTGATCAAAGTGTGGCACCGTGTTGGAATGGACATCACCCATCATAATGGAGCTCACTATCTAACCCTGATAGACTGTGGCCCAACCCGGTTCACTATTTGGTGACGTCTGTGTCAACAGGATTCCACATGCGTGATTGACCACTTGTGGGCAGTGTTCTTTGAACGTGGAGCTCCGACAGAACTCCTCACTGACGACACTGCATTCTGCAGTGGACTATTTAAAGATTTTTTGGATTCATGGGGAGTACACCTCAGATTTTGC